TGTCCCATACCCCACACCCCGGGAGTGCACACAATGGCAGGCAGCTGCCTCCCCGCACCCCTGGATGAGCCACCCGTGGGTCTATCCTGCTCCCCACCCCAGCCCCAGGCTCCATGCACCAGTCTGGCTGAGCAGCACCCCCAGGCACAACCCCTGTCCCACTCCCTCCCTCACTGTAGGGGCCTCAATCTGTCCCCCACCCCCAACTCACCTGCAGGCAGTTAGGGGAGCTGCTCTCCACCGCTGCCTGGGGCTGTATTCCTGGCCAAGTGCATGTCTGCATGTGCACACATGCACTTGGTGCCCCCTGAGTCCTGCTCCTTGCAGCCCCTTGCAAGCTGAAACTCTGCCAGCCTGCAAGTGGAAACCCACCATTTCCCACATTTTTCTGTGGTGAATGGAAAAGCCAGATCCCTGCACAATACAAGGAATCTGGGACAAATTCGGTCCTGGAGTCATGTAGCCTGGGACTGGGATCTTGATGTTCCCATTTGGGACTGTCCCACCCAATTAGGGATGGGTGGTCATCCTACCCTCTTCCTAAGTGGGGGCAGGGCCCTCGGGCCCCCCCGTACATGGCGCCTATCCTCCTTTTAGAAATACTGCTCCAATTAAAATCTATATAATACACATATGACCAAGTACATCAGGACCATGTTAACATTAAACTCAAGTCCAGTAAAAATGCAGTCAGCTCAGACACCTGTCAATAACACCTCCCTGATGTCAACCTGACTAGATTTGAAATATTATTCATACTTGTTACGTTCTTTAGCCACATACTAACAATGACATCAGAAATTTCAAATCACAATCTGCTTCTACAAGTTGTACTTAATATAAATACACAATATATAATTAGCATATACACTTATATGAGTATCAAATAGTTTATGTACTCATTAAAACAAAATCATCATTACTTAAAAAATAATAAATCTCAAATTGACTTTCTATTAGGTATAAAAACTCTTAGTCTGTGCTGGAAGCGCTCAAGTATGTTTTGACCAGATAAAACAGAATGAACAATTACAGTTTAATTGCAAAAACAGTGTGCATGCACATGTACATGTACACACACATACACCATAATTATTGTGGCCCATTCAAAATAATTTAAAACAGTGGACATCTATTAAGAAGTGAAGGATGTATGATTTCTAATCCAAAATGCATACTTATTACAGATTAAAAACACAATCAGTTACACTTCATGCCTGCCCACTACTTTAAGATGGCCAATCTGCCTATGCCCAGGAATGTCCAAACATAAGAACAGTCCCATTTTGGTATGTTTGTATTTCTATTTGCATCACAATTTTTGTTACTTAAAACACCAGTACTGTATATTAACTTCCTTTGCTTATAATTAGAAGGATGAGCTCATTGTTTTATATAGATGGTATCATTTCAACACTAGTGCCTGCATGAATTTTCCCAAGCTAGAAGAAATAGAGACCCCTCCCCATTACTGCCAAGTGGGATCCATTTTATATTTGCTTGTGCAACCCCCTTGGACTGAGAAGGGAACTTATCAAAATGCATCCATCCTGGGAAGTTCAGGGGACCCTGTTGAGCATGCTCGGTGGGGAAGTGGTGGCAGCTGGTGTACCCGAGGGACCCTGAGGAGAGTGGTCAGAGGGAGCTCTCGGTGAAGGGGGCAGAGTCTGGCAGGCTGAGACAGACTGTCCTGGGGAGAGCACTGACTGGTGATCAAGGCTGCGTGAGCTCTGGCTCCTGCTGCTGAAAGAGGCAGGTGTCCTGCTCTGAGCGCCAGCTGGCAAGAAAAGTGACACAAGTATGTTGGATCCATCCAGAGGCTCCAGAGAAGGTGGATTCAATCTGCTGCTCCCCAGTCTTCAATTACACAGCGCATCAGTGACAATGAAGCTGGTTAACAGCTTATTCACTACTAAGGTGTGATATAATGAATATCTCTATTTGGGTTTTTTAATATGTCTATTTTCATCATCATTATTTACTGAGGAAAATATGATGCCAGGTATCCTGCACTAGGCATGCTGGTTTCTTATGTACATGTAGTGAATGCAGAAGGTTTGTGCATTTGACATTGCATAGCTGTTCCATTTACACCACTTTAACTCTCCATAATTTCAGCCTCACAGGGGACTTCGGGATACAATATCGCTTTCCTGGTTTGTGCCATGATACTCAGACATACAGAGCATCAACCTCATCATCAACACCAACAGGAATGAAGCTGAGAGAGGGATAAAAGTGTTTACATATACAAGGCTAGCTTTTTCCCCTTGAATTTTATGAAATGAGTTTTCATAAATAATAATCTGTAATATTATTGTAATAGAACAAGGCTAGCTTTTTCCCCTTGAATTTTGAGGAATTATATTCTTTTGATATTTTAAATCATATTTCAATTGGTTTTAACATTTCACCATGTCCTGAGCCCTCCTAGCACAGTGAAGTTTATTAATATAGATATATTCTAATTTATAAGCAATAACATTACTTTCCTGCTGGTATAATTTTCCATCTTTGCAGTAAATCCTAGCAAAGTAAGCCTACTGACCTCAGAGAAGTTATTCCTTATTTACAGTACATGGACCTCTATATTTCAATTATCTTAAAGTCCTGTTTTATGTGCCCAATAAAAAAGCAAACAATCAATATTATTAAGTATTGTGCTTGTGTGAACTGGGTATATGTTAAGATCAGGAAATCATGCAGGACATTCCCAGTTGAAACCAAGAAATACAGCAGCCTGAAGCAGAAGGAGCAAAGGCAGAAGAGTCCTTCTACCACAGTGAAAGCTTTCTATTAATACCCTAATCATGAAGGACGCCCTTTAGAGGCAAGAAAGAAGTCTACAGGCCCATTTAGTCACTGGTCTCTGGATAAGACTGTCAATATGGAAATCAAACAGTGCAACCTCATCTGGTAGTTTTTAAAAGCAAGATCCCAAATTGTTTAAAACATATTACAACTAAGACAAGTCAAGAAAAGCATCTACATGTATTCAAAACATCTAGTCCCGACTCACTGGAAATTGGACTATGGTCACAAGATTCATTTCACATATAGAGTTCAAATTAAAAAGATAACCACTGCAAATGGCTGCCAGGCACTACAGATCTGGACTGGAGCAAACTTATTACTGAGGCGAGAAAGAGCTATAACCAAAAAAAATCAATAAAACAATCTAATATCCCAGCTGGATTAAGTGATTTTTTTAAAAACAATAAACATAATTTACTCTAATTTAATTCCTCAAATCTAAGAATCTCAGAAAGCTTTATATATTGAAGATGGTCCTCATTTTTCAAAAGGGGAAACTGAGGCATACACAAGTTAAGCAACTTGTCCAAAGTCACATAGACAGCCATTGATGTTATGAAAACAGAATCCAAGAACCCTGAATCCTAGTCTCTTTATTAATAACCCCCCCAGCAACCTCCATACAAATGAATTCCAATAATGAATGCATTCTACTAATTCATACTAACGAATTAGAAGTGATTAGTGTACTACCTACCTTTATTAGTAATATTTTTGCACAAATCAACACAGTGTGTGGTCTTCTCTAAAGTGGGTAAACAGAATCTTTACATATCTGTTGACTATCATCAGACATGTTTTAAGTGCCATTTGTCTGTGTTCATTATTAAGTTAGGTTTAGCATCATGTTAGTTAAAGATTTCCTAACATGGTAAGTTTTCCATTGCAAGCATGAACAGAGACGGCGTTATAATAAAGTACAATAGGACAGATTTAACAACATGCAGTAAATGTGCGATCGGAGACCCAAGAGGACAACAGGAGTAGTCCTGCTTAGAGACAGTAGTGACCAAAAAGCTGCATTCTGTTGTACATAACCATTTTTCAGTTGGTAAATATTTACCAGAAATGAAGGTTAATTCATACATTAAAAGAATGCAATAGAGGGAGGGGGAAAGGACAGAAATGTTGTAAAAGTAAATACTTCAAGCTGGAAACACAGCAAAATAAAATCAATTGTTGTCAGTGGAGGGGGAGAGTGTTGCTCAGATCCAGCCATATTTCATTGGTAACTCCCTTCTGTATTGTTTATTTTTCACTCAGCTTTGTACACCACTAAAAATCAAAATAGACATTCTAAATTAGATCAGGGCATTTTCGGTCTGTTAGAAATACATTCATAAAACTAGAGGTGGGGGAAAGTATTTGTTTTCTTGTTTATTAAGTGTCATATAAAATAATATCAGGAATAGCCAATGTGGTTGCTCAATGTATTATTCATACTAGTTGCAAGAAGGGCTTTAACCAGTCAGTGATACAGGAAAAAAAAAGAAGTGACCTAATAATGAAACTATTGTTTGAATAAGACAATGCGGCTCATAGGACAGAATAAGAGCTCTTCATTTGAGCCAACATATAATTATAGAGTGCTGTTCTGTTTTATCCAACTATTAGCATTAGCATTTGCTCTTGTTTTTTGACATCACCAGCTCTATTCTGTAGCTGTTTAATTAAGAGTCCAATCCTTAAATGCTTATAAATCAAGCTTAGTCCTGAAACCACTCCCATTAATATCAAGGGCATTACAAACAGTAGAAAATGGGGTAGCTGGGACATAACTGTGCTCAGATTTGTATGGGTTTTCTTCAACTGGTCCAAACCCCTGCGTGGAAATTCTTGTTTTGTTTTAAAAACTCTGCATTTAAGTTTTCGATTAAATCTCCTTCTGAGTTTCAATAAACAAGTATCCAATTTTAATAAATCAGTTTTAAAATCTTACTTTAAGGTAAACCATTGCAAATGAGGCTACGAACAAACATTATAAGGCCCAGATTCTCTAAGGTATTTGAACACCATTCAAATAATTAGGCATTAACTACTTAAAAACCCTGGAGGAACCCCATCTGGATCTTTCCAGGATTTATGAACATCTCAGGCCAGCAACCCCAAATATTTGTATGGCACCAAGCAAGCTTTTAGTGCCTACTGAATATAATATGGCCAGGATTAAAAAAAAATACTCCTCTTTAGCCCTTTGTGGTGTTTGGTAGTTTGTTTTGGACATTTTTTTTTTTTAATGATACGCACAAAATTTCTTCGTCCAATATTAAACTACCTCCTGATATCTCTGAAAGACATTCTGCTTTTGATCTTGGTTCCTTTTTAATCTGATTTCTGTTTTGTAGTCAAGAGAAATCTCTCTGCAGGCCATTTAGATAACTCAAGGTTTGATGGCTTTGACCTGAATTTATCCATAATACACTAAGTACAGATTTAGAAAAAAATAATCAGACAACCCCCTCAACTCTTTTTCGGTTGTGTGCATTCATATGACAGTACACATGGGGCATCCCTGAAAAATGTTACTTCATCAGTTAGTTTTCTGCAGTTCATTATTTCAAACCTTTTGGCTCCTCAATTCCCATAACTTCTATTTAAAACACAGTATAATCACCAAATATAGAAACAGAAAAAACTTTCTCCTGATACATCTGCTCTTACTTTTCTTCATCAATTTATCTTTTACTGCACAAGCAATATAAAAATGAGATAAAATCGCACCTAGTTAGGTTTTAATTTTCCTCTTGCCTCAGACTTGTCATTTATGCAGCTCTACAACTCATGGGCAGCACAATTCCCTTGTTAAAATAACAACCTAAAATGGAGAAAAGGCAGCAGAAAGAGAGATCTTATCATTTGAAATGTTTAGCATTTGAGGTCTGAACACAATCAGAAAACAAGAACTAACTGTTGAGGTAGTTTTTCCTATCAAACAAACAAAGACTACAGAAAGATCTAATATTAACTTAGCTACTAATTAGAAATTTTTTGTCCTCTCTGATGTCCCTGCACCTAAAGATTTCCCAAAATAGATTCATTTTTACATACAGAGGATATAGCAGCAGCATGTGCTTTTGAGCATATTTGCAATCTAGAGGTTAGCAAACAATCTGAAAACAATCATTCTGCGAACTGCTACTTGTCATATCAAGATTTATGCATTGTCCAGAACTGCTGTGCAACATTTTATGTAAAGCCTATTTGTTAGCTTCTTGTCCACAAGGGAATAGTAGTTTCAGTGGAGACAAACTGTTCAGATTTAGCTGTAGGAAGTAAAAACTGCAAAACACACCAAGGCTGAAATGCTGCTCAGGCTGGTTTACATACCTCTTTTTAAACATAACGTATAATGTTAATTGCTTCATTACTCATCAAGTAAGCAGAAAAAAAATATTTATATAGTATATATGGTAACTATATAGATAGATAGTTACTATTATGAGATAAAACTTACTGTGCTTTATTTTGTAACAACCATGTAAAGTCTATGAAGTAACATCAATGTTATCATCTAAACTTTTTTTTAAATTAAATCCACTACGTCTCTACCAAGAGATTCATCGCATCTCATTCCTGGTGCGTTCCAAAATATTGAGAAATAAACAGAACACATTTTTACATGCTTCATTTTTAATACCAAATGAAAGAAGTGATCCTAAATATTTATTTCTCTTTGAAAACAAATGGTTCCACAGGGTCAGTATTTAATGAGAAAAGCATCTTTTGGCAATAGAGTTCAAGGATGAAATATCCCAACAAGCTATTAAAAAAGAGGAAATTTTCCAGCAATACTCACAGTTTTATCGATATGGTCAGAAAGTTTGTTAGAGGTCTGACCCCCTTTTATACTTTTACTGTACAAATAAACTGATTTAAAAACAGCCTGTCTAAAGAACTCTGTTTTTTGGCAAAATGATTCAACAGCCATTGCACCAGGAATTGACAAGGAATTTGCTTTGTTCTGCAATTAACATACCTGTGCTTATTTTTTCCAATCAGCCTTCTTGAATTGGGAGACATGAATTTCCTATTAAGCATTACATACAATTATCTTAAATAAGCCACATTGAAAAAGAACCCGAACAATGCATCTCTTCTTTTCTTCATTAAGACACTAAAATGTACAACCTGGACATAAACAAGTCACTTCACCTAATTAAATGAATTCTTTCTCTCTATTAAAAATTTAAAAGTGTTCCCTGAGTGTAAACATGTCACTGTGAGTGGGGAGGGAAAGAACCCTAATGCCCACGAATAATTGGAAATAGCTCCTTTAGCAAAGCCACTCTAATAGCATATGTGCACATAAATTATTCTAATTGTTTTATTATTAGTAAAGATAGTAGAAATGCAAAGGGTGTTCAACTGTTAGCAATTAAACCCTCAAGTGCTAATATGATAAAGCAAAAAGGTGATATATTTAATTGCCTACTGAGAAAGCAAGAATTAAAAAAAAAAAATACCTGCTTTGCAGCAAGCAGAAGACAAACAATATTTCCAGATTTCCTGTTCTATGAAAAGGAAAGGAAAGGTTCTTTTGCAGCTATTGCCATCATTAACTTGTCCTTTAAAGGTATATTCAGAAATCCTTAATTTTTGAATGGTCGTAAAATGTTTAAAATGAAAAGGCTTGTTTAAAACTCTAAAGCTTGTAATTCACATCGGAGTCAGAGAGCTGTCATCAATTTATGAGATATATATTCCAATGAACATACCTCATTTTACATTCCAAGAAAACATGCAAGTGAAAACTATTTTTGACAATAAATTTGAGTCTGAAAGTGTAAATGTTTGCAGAAACCAGAGATCAATTTTTTTTTCAAATGTAGGGAAGGCTTGAAGCTTTCTCTGAGCTCCCTCTTGTGAACAATTGCTAAAAATGCATCCCAAGTGTTTCACTCTGCTCTCTAGAACCAACTTGAATAAGCAGCAAGCTAACAATTTCTGATCAAGCTCTTTTGGCTGCTAATGTGCCATGGCCTAGGTCTGAAAACACTGCACCCTGGTTCTCAGGGTATTATTTGTGTGCAAATATTTGTCCCTAGAAGGAATAGGTTAATTTTCTGGATCTCCTGCATATGAACTGGAGAAAACATCTTCTATCTGACTTCTCCTGTGGGGTCATCATCTCTGTCTGTAGCAGGCAGAAATTAAACATCAGGAGCTAACTTGACGGAGCTTGTTGCTCTCCTCCCTTTGCAGGGAAAGCCTGGCCCCTCACAGTAAAGCAAACCCTACACTTGTTAAAAATGTCAAATACCTAGAGGAGTATTGTCTACTTTTCTTTAAAATAACCAGGGGTTTAGAAACAGGTATTTATAACAAACAAACAGAAGTGTGTAGCTTCCAAGTCCAGTCTAGTCCTCAGAAACTGGTCTGAGTTTGATACTTGGCCAGGCCTTGCATTTCTTTCCTGAACAAACCACTTTAACCACAGTTTCATTTGTAAGATAATTAGTATTTCTCTGCTGCATGGGGACATTGCAGTGATAAATGTGGCTTGTGAGATGCTTGGGAGTTTATCAATGCTGCTAATTTGGGATTGATTTAAGGCTACCTTCAAGGCCATACCTGGCAACACATGGAGCCTCCATGTTTAACATTGGCAGCAGGCTGGCCAGCCCCAAGGGCAAGGAGCTGCTGCCACTACCACCAAGGCTACCCCGCCCTCAACTCACCTGGGTACCAGAGGCCCAAAGTCCAGGAAATCTTCCAGTAGCAATTCCACCACGCCTGTTTGTAAGGTTTGCCCCCATTTTCTCTCTGTACTGCCAGTGTACAGCTGATCACAGGAGGAAGGACAAGCAGACTGCAGGGCTCTCTTTCAGGAATAGCAGGCACAAGGCACATATAGACAGGGAGGGGCTGCTGCTGTGGCTTGGGCTGGTTGAGGAAACCCTGCGTATCAGTGTAGACAGACGCTCGGATGCTGTTCGAGTGAGGGTGATATGTATGTATGCAGAGAGCGACAAAGAGGTAGAGATTTCAGTTGCTGTTGTGAAATAGCTAATACGCTCATGTGTGACAGTCTGAGAATGATTAAGTTTGCCTAACCTGTTCCTACGCAACAACTCTCCTGAAGCTTTCAATATGTCCATGTGGGCAGAGACCCTCCTTGTCAGAGTACATGTGCATAAGAAAGTTGGGTGTCTGTGAGCAGCTGATTTTAAACAAACATTTCTATGTTTTAACTTTCATCAGACTAGAAATGACAAAAAATGAATATTTTAATTGAAGTGTTTGTAGCCTAAAATTAAGCTGGACTGTGATTTACCAGTACTTTTTTTTTTTTTGTCTGTCTTACGAAGTGTTGAAGAAAGTGTCACTAACAAAAAAAAAAGAAAAAAAAAAAACCCAACAAAAAGAAACAAACCTTGTAAAATAAACATTTTAAAAAGGCAGCTTGCATTAAAACAACGATATGTAGAAAAACCAGTTCTCAGCCTTTTAAAAGTAATTTCTTACTCTTACAAAAAACTAATCAGCTTTCTGCACCATGTTTAGGAAAAAATGGCAGTGGCCTTCTAAATCGCATAGATTTATTTAACGTTGCATTTCATTAACCACTTAAACGGCAATCCCAAAGAGAGAACTGCAATTCTGAATGTCCTATAGGAGTGAGACAGAGCATACTGGCCATCAAATTCTAGTTGTTCATTCCACCGACTGGCAAAATGTCTGCTCGTCTGATTTCTTTTATGGGACCACATTTGAGCAAGCAAAGTTTATAGAGATGACTTACCTAATTGCATTAAGAAAGTGATTTGCTATCTCAGCAAGTACTTTAATGTACAAATCTAGAAGGAAAAGGGCTTCCGTAAACAGGTGTGAATGGCATAGTTTCATCAAGCATTAAATTGGAAGTGCTTCTGACAAATATTACATTTGTGCATTTAGATACTAAGATTGTGGATCAATTTTGTAAACTGTAGACAGCATTTTCACACCAAAATATTCATGGCTATATAAAGACAACTGTATACCAGCAAGAGAAAAACATATTTTCAAGCAACATGAAATGGGTGGCTGTCTGTTTCTTATCAGTGTTGTTTCTTGCTAGGTTTCAGAAAGGCTGATTTTAAAAATGTTATCTCCAGGGAGTAGACTAGTCTTTGATATGAGGCCACAGGTCAGGTAATGCTTAAGGAAAATCAGCTGATACTTGTTGGCAGTTCTAATATTTCCTAAAGGAATAACACTTGGTAACTGAGGAAATTACCTGCCTCCCCCCCCCCATTAATGACTATATAAATAAAAACATCCAAAGGGCATATGGGCTAGGGCCCTGATCCTGCAGTAAAGCACACACAGGTTACCCCCTGCTGTCTTTTGGGCACCTCCAAATTCAGTGATCCCACTCATTGTGGAGTGGGGGCCCAGTGCAAGGTTTAAATAGTTTTGTATAACTCTGCATGATTTTTCACCCATAGTTGTATTAGTACAACCCCTAGTGTGGATAAAGTTAGTTATAAGCTGGGATCCTGATTTTCTCTGTTTAAAAGTCACAAACTCTCTGATTAAAACACACACACACATGCACTGATTAAAAACCCCCAAATCTGCATTTTTCTGAAATTAAAATGAAATACCACTATATGTATATGTATGTATCAGTTGAACAGGAGGTATTATTGATATATTTACCATTTTAAAGCAATTTGGAAACCTACCAGTGCCTCACAATCACTATAATAAATTCCAAATACCTATATATTTTGGCATTTGATTTAGGGTTTTTATCATGGAAAATCAAAGCTCCCCCTGCCCCCTTAGCTCACCAGGATGCAAGTCCAGCTGCGGCTGCTCCCCCTACCACTGCTTTGTGGCCCTGAGCAGCCCTGATATGCCAGTGCCCTGACCATGCCGTTGCCCCTCATTCCCAACCCATGCTCCTCCCTGGCCTGCTGATTTCGCTCACACTCAACCCACAGCTCCCTGGCCCTGCCAGTGCCCTTCCCTCCCCAACCCACAGCCCCCACTCCCCCACCCCTGCTGGTACCCATCACTCATGGCCCACAGCCCTCTGCCCCACCCCAGCTGGCAGACAGGGGCCCCAGCTACCAGGACTATGGAGCCAGGGACCCAGGTCTTCAGCCCCCTGCCCTTCGCCCCTCACCCCCCGCCCCCAGCAGTGCCCAAGCCCTGGCTGCTGCCCATGGGAGGTGGTGGAGCCTAGCTCCCCCCTCCCCTGCTACTAGCACAGCTGGAACAGAGCCCATGGAGAGGGGATGGATGCGGGCTGCCTGCTGCGGTCTTGGGGCTCCCTGCCTTGCTGCCCTCCCCCTGGAGGCCTCCGCAACCCAGTGAGCGGGACCCAGTGTGGCAGGGCAGAGCATGGCTGGCAGGCTTGGTGCCACCACCATGGCCTGGCACCCCTTGCCTGCCTGGCAGCGGTGGGGGAGGGGCAGCGCAGAGTTATCCACTCCAGATGTGCCACTCATGGGGGAGGTAGGAACTGGGCTCTATGCTCTGCCCAGACCACAGAAACTGCTGCCTCTAAAAGGTGGCAGCCAGGGCTTGGGTGCTGCTTGGGTGGGGGGAGAATTAGAGGGCTGCAGACCCAGGTCCCCAGCCCACATATAAATCTGGGGGGCACGTGTGCGCCATGCCCGCCCCAGGAGTTTGTACAGTGGTGGGGAGCCAGCCTCCCCTGCCACACAGCGGATGAGCCACTCACAGCTGTCCCACACCCCGCCCAGGCCCCATATCTGTGCATTTCCACCCTGGCCCTGGCCCCAGCCCCAAGCACCACCCTGGCTGGGCAGTGCTCCAAGCCCCAGCCCTGCCTAACTCCCTCCCTCCCTATGAGGGCCTCTATCCCACCCCCACCCAGACTTGTCTGCAGGGAGCTGTAGGAACTGTTCTCCATGTTCCCTGGCTGTCATGTGCATGTGTGTGTGCACATGCATGTGGTGCCTCCTGCTCCCCGCAGCCCCTTGCAGGCAGGAATCCTGCCAGCCTGCAAGGAGAAACCTGCTGCTTCCTGCATTTTTCTTCGTTAAAGGAGAAAAATCTGTGTTTTTCTCCTTAAAATGAGAAAATCCATATTTTTCTGTGGCGAACAGAAAATCTGAATCTCTGGTTATAACGTGTTTTTTCATTGATTTAGCATTTTCCCCTTCTCAGGGGGAAATACAGCTATACCCATATACAAGCAAATTCATCTTGTTATAGTTTCATCCGCCCTATAGGGTTATGTCACTTGAACAGTACTGGCACACTTGTGGAGGTGTAACTGTTGTGTGCAAACATGTCATAAAAGGCTCTTTTGAACTTAGCTCCATGCAGGAAGTCTTCATGCTAACGGCAGTTTCAGGGAGACAACATATAGTGGAAAAGAACTTCCTAATAGAAAAAAATGTGCTTTTCTTTATTTTAAAATTCACTACCTTGCACCATTCCAGTGCAAAAGAAAAGTGCTATGCTTTTTCACTGGGAACTGGGAACAACTCATTTGCAAAAGTTAATGCTCCTGTTTCTAAATCTGTCTCATTATAAGGAATAAGAACTCCCTTGCCTCTTATCTAACTATAAATAACGTTCAGTTGGGGTCTGGCAAGAAGGTGTTCGTGAGTAAGCTAAGAATAATGTTTACAGACAGGTAACTTTTATAAGTGTTGGTTCCTGAAAACTGCTCAGTGATCACATGCACGTGCTTTTTAACATACTCCAACACATGAATAAAACAGAGAACACAAGTGAGGTGCAAGTGTTGCTTGATACTTCTTTGGATTAATCAAGAGAATGTATGCATAACTTCACTTCTCAGAAGAAAGAACAGAAAACTGGGAGGAAAAAAGGGGATATTCCAGACCAAAAAATGAACCCCATAGGAAAAGAAAAAGGAAGAGAATGGAGCCAGTAGGGAGAGAGAGCTGAAAGTCTACCTACCATTCACTCTGCTTTAAAACAAAGTATGCAAGACAGAAACTAGTTTTCTTAAAGTAAAAATTCAGTTTTATTTGTATTTTAATAGAAACGTTACACAAAGAGGTATAATCTTTCACAAATACCTCTTTGACCTTGGAATGTTCATTTCTTTGGCCTTTTGCTTATAAGAACTTTGGTAAAGCCAAGCAATGCACTGCCATCTACAGAAGTACAAGAAAGCATACAATACCACTGGTCTCGCATATATGAAGGCAAGCCAAAGTTAGCTAGGCAAGTCAATTTTCTAGGATTATGTAAAGTTAAAGAGCATAAAAGCATATCTCTGGACAGGGATGTGATGATCTTCAATCCTCTCCTCCACACAGGTTCA